TGCTAAGCCACATTCACAAGTTAATACAGGAGAGAGTTAAATTATAAATATATACACATCATATTTACCCTGAGGCAAAAGAATATCTTGAATGTGACCACCTACGAGGTGGTGACGATCTCCTCTGAGACATGGAATTATGCCTGGGTGACCTGAAAAATGTTTATCAGCTTTTCACTCTAGCAAAATCAATACAATCAAAACACTCAATTTTGTAGTCAATACGTTTTTTGGGCCATTTTATAATAAATGATATGAATTCCTATATAAGTTAATCAATACTGGAAAAAAATAAATACTGATTGTTTTATATTTATTTGTTTAACAGCATGATAAATTAATTTTTTTAGGTTCTGTTATTAATAAAATTACAATCAGTTTTCCTAAGATTGATTTGTTCAACCACTAATCTTTGAAAAGTCTATCATTTTGTCTGTTTTTTAAACACAACACTTAAAACCTTTTCCTGCACTACATAATAATATATGCAATTTATTTTTGTTTATAGAAAACATGCATACCTAGTAAAACAAAAATTAAAATCTATAGGTTGGAGCAAATGCATCTCAGTAGCTTAGTGATTTCTCATCACAGCAAATACATTCAAGTACATGTACGTGTAGTGGACATGAAACTTGGTCCAATATCACCAAAACACACTTAGTGTAGTGGACATTTAATTAGGTTGAATGTCACTAAAACACACTTAGTGTAGTTGACAATTAATAAGGTTGAATGTCACTAAAACACACTTAATGTAGTTGAAATTTAATAATGTCCATTATCACATGGACCTGCCAAATTGTTAAGTTATTAAGTTCATCATTATCACATGGACCTGCCAAAGTGTTATGTTATTAAGTTCATCATTATCACATGGACCTGCCAAAGTGTTAAGTTATTAAGTTCATCATTATCACATGGACCTGCCAAAGTGTTATGTTATTAAGATCATCATTATCACATGGACCTGCCAAAGTGTTAAGTCATTAAGTTCATCATTATCACATGGACCTGCCAAAATGTTATGTTATTAAGTTCATCATTATCACATGGACCTGCCAAAATGTTATGTTATTAAGTTCATCATTATCACATGGACCTGCCAAAGTGTTAAGTTATTAAGTTCATCATTATCACATGGATCTGCCAAAGTAGATAAATATCATCGTCTCATGCTTGTTTTCAAACTCAATCTGAAAAATTCAGAAATATATTTAAAGCTACAATCTATGTACCTGCTACGATGTCTGTTAGGTGATCTGCTACGGAATCTCTCTCTTTCTAAAAAAAAAAATATTAATCACATAGTACCCTAATAAACTCTGAATTACATACACATTGTGTCTTCTTACTAAAGTGATTATTATACTAAAATTTTGGATCAGTATATTCTAATAATTATTGGTTTTCGTTATCTTGTGTGCTGATTCAAGATATTATATAATTCTAGTCAGTTTTACAAAATTATATTGTCAGTTTATTATATAGAATTGGCTTCATTATATTGTCAGTTTGTTATATAGAATTGGCTTCATTATATTGTCAGTAGTTTTACAGTTATCAGTAAATATACACATGTTAAGTCTTCAGTGATAATTTATATGACCAACCTTTAGGTCTTCTGTTACTGTTCCTGTCATGATCTCTGTTTCTGTCTCTGTTCTGTGATCTAGACCTGCTGTGGCTACGGCCTGAGAAAGAAAAAGACAAAAAACATGAAAAAACTAATGGTCATATTATTAATTATTTTGCCATAGTTTTGTTCATAAAGATTTAAAGATGGCATGCTGAAAATATGTTAGCAATATGAAAAACTTTTGTAAAATTAAAGAGTTTTCTACATTCTTCATTTCCTAAGTTAACATTGTATAGCTAGTAAGGTTTAGAAGAATTAAAAGTAGCCTTTATATTAAACCATCTCAAATTTACAATAATGAAACTGAGGAATAATGTTCAAATTGAATAAAAAAAAGAGCAAAAACTTTACCCTTCAGAAAATTCAAAAATGTAAATAAAAACTCATGACAGTAGTAAGTATTACTGTAAACTAGTCTTAGCTTTACATTTGTTCAAAAAATATTTACCTGTACTTGAAGGAGATCTAGAATGACTTCTTCCCATTTCTCCAAAGATGTAATAAGCTAATCTTTCCCTATAGATAACACAATATAACAATTTTTTTTCTTAGGTCAGAAGTATTATTTTAAAAGTGTCAATCAAACAGTCAATATCATCATGCTTGTTTTACTGGTAAGATTTTTTTTCTTTTTCAGGTATTTAAAGTTATGTACGAACTTATAATTATCATAAATTATGATCCATGAATATTTACCTGTAAAATATACCAACATCATAGTATAAGTGATGACTTTGTTTACTTCAGGTGACACTGTGATGTAAAATATATCACATTAAACTAAAAGATCTTTACAGCAGACATTGAAATGTTTGAGAAAATTAAAGAAAGGAGATACTTTGTGAAAATACTCATATAACATTTATATACTAATGTGCTACTATGAATATATTAATTGGTCTTAACACAAATATACAATATAACTTATTCCATCCTTTAACTTAAAACGTACTTTGATCACTTTTAAGTAAAGAACAAGAGCCAACATTATCCATTCCTACACTTAACATTACTATAAGTATTTGTTTAAAGAATAATATTTGGGTTCCAACATTTTATTATTAAAGATGACATATATTTTATAATTAGGCACAAATTAAAATACCTAAATGGTTTTGGAAGGAACATCAACAAAAATGTTCAGGTTATCAGGTTTCTTATTTTGTTATTTACTTCAATTTTATTCCTGCATCATTTCTTAATATTGTTTTAAGCTATATTTTCAATGTTATAATTTTGATAGTTCATAGAATATTTAAAAAGTTCATGATAACGTAACAACCTAGAATTTTGTAGAATTTGGAGTACATTATAAATACAAGTAATCAGTATGTAAGGATTAAATGAGAAACCAGTGAAGTATTTAGCGAGTAATTGAGTTCAGTATTTGTAATAAGAGTTATCACGTATATTAAGTTAATTAATCAATCATCAAAAACATCCTAAATGTAAGTTTGTTTTCAAAAGTAAGTTAAGCATGAAATTAATCTTGAATTTTCTGTTCAAACATTGTTTATAAACTTAGGCCTACAACCTATGTCAAAGTGAATATATCCTGTAGCAAATGTTATAGAAGAAATTAACTTGGTATCTTTACATTGACTGAACTTGATATCATAATTACTGTATAATCCAAAAAAATTCACCCATTTATAGTAAAACTTACAATGATATGACAGTTCAATGTCAAATATTTAGGATATTCATTTTCTATTTATTTGTAAAAAGTACAAACATAAAACAAACTACATTTTTAAACAGTCTGAATATGCATTAAATTTTAAAACTTGCAGTGATAGTAACAGTAAAAACCTTGGAAGCAAGATACATGTTCTTGATTTATATAAAGAAACCCTGCAATTTAAATGCCACTCGGTTCAGATTCCATTGAAAAATATTTTAAATTCTTTCAACACACGAAAAGCATTTCAAACAATTGTATACTGTTATTTTAAGTTTATTTATAAGTTTGTGGCTTAAGTTTTTATAAATAAAAACGAATTACTATGGAAATGTCTATGCTACTTCTCTCTCTATATATATGGAATTTCACTACTCTCGATCAATAAGCATATGGAGATAAAATTGTAAGTAATTCAAGTTCAAATAAAAACTTTATCGTCGATTCTTAAATGACTCCTCTAAACTTTTAGAATTTAGATTTAAAACAACTTCAACATAAAACTGAAAGTTGAAGCTTACTAGATAGTGCTATTACAGATTACTGTGCTAATACTAAATCTATATTACTATTATATATCATTAGTACTAATAGTAGTACTAGAACTAATACTAGATAACCGATACATTTTCACATCCATTTTTGAGTTTATTCATTATACTTTATAGGCTTATAGCTAGGCCTACATTAAATTCTAATATTACTGTCTACATAGAATTATAAACTTCATAACACTGTTTACGCGTCATTAAAAATCTTATTAATTTTCTAGAATCTGAACTTTTAACTTGCAAATTGTAATTTTGAATTCTGTAACCATCAGTTTCTACAATCGTGTTAAGCCTAAACGTAATACAAGTATATTTCGTGAAGACATTACGAGAGTCACAATGCTATTTCTAATATTTGACAGCGAAAACAAATTAATAATAATAATATAAAAATGGTGTTGCTATTACAACAACAGCAAAATAAATAAATAAGTAAAAAACACAAGTCTGATTTGAGCCCAAATTAAGTGAAAAACAAATTAGTTACGAAAATAGTCTTCCTGAAATTGACAAGAGTGAGTTAACCAAAGACATAGTATAATAGGAACCATCTGTATATTTTAATTTATTTATTTATATATATTTATAATTCAATCTTATTTATAAGTTAATCATGTTTAAAATTGATACGTAATTAATAATTCCTTTTGTCAATATATGTATGAATATTCAGCATGTAAATAACTGTTCTGCCACAATTCATTTTAAATAAAACGCCTATATAAAGTCTACTATTAAAAATTACATATTTACTGCAAAAACCTTAAAGTCCCTTATTTTACCCAGTTAAATATCTTGTATAATTATTAATTTTATCAATAAATCAAACTTAAATAGTGATAGTTTAAACGTTGGTATGTTTTTTTTTCTCTTAAGTTTGTACTATAAGGGTTAAATAAATTTGTAATAGGGGTGAAAACAAATTATACTTGATTTTTTTTGTTTCATAAAATTGGGGTTTATTTGGTATTTCCACATATTCTGGAAATTATTAATCTTCTGAAAACGTTCATGTGGTAGAAAATCTTTGTAATGTCAGAAACGTTCATAAAATAATAAATCATGAAATTTTTATATTTTCAAAATATATATTTCTGTCAATTTAAGTAATTAACAATAGTTTGTTTCTTTGTTTTGAATTTCGCGCAAAGCTACACGATGGCTATCATCACTAGCCGTCCCTAATTTATCAGTGTAAGACTAGAGGTAAGGCAGCTAGTCATCATCACCCACCGCCAACTCTTGGGCTACTATTTTACCAACGAATAGTGGGATTGACCGTAACATTATAACGCCCCCACGGCTGAAAGGGCGAGCATGTTTGGTGTGACGGGGATTCGAATTAACAATAGCAAAGCGTATAAAGTGCGTTATAATGATGCGAAAAGATAATTGAATACAAAATCATACAAACTGTACTTAATCAAAAGAATAATCTGAAAGCGCAAGTACGAGCCATTTGATTTCCAAAATTCGGATGCCAACGTTTCTGCGACCAACTGTTATTCTGGTTCTTTTTTTTTTTCTAACAATGTGTAAGATAGTAAAATATGTGCACATTTAATGGTGTCGTCCTTATTAACAGTTGCGAATGTGTTTTAGTGGTTAGTGTGATTGACTATGAATACGTTTATTCATGGTTTGCATCTCGCTGCTGAAAAAACGTGCTGCATACTTTGGGGTTGGGGTACTCTATAAGAGTGACGATTGAATTGCACTATTAGGTTTAGACTAGAGTAGCGGTGGGTGATATTCACTAGCTACCTTTCTTTTAGCTATCCGTTTAAAATCGCCCCCAGTTACTCAGCGGTAAATCTACGAGCTCACACTAGAAACAAACAGGTTTCGATACTTATGGTTGACAAAGCACAAACAGCCCACTGTGTTGCTTTATCCTTTACACCAAACAAACGAGCATGAAAAGCTGAGACGAACGGTTTGTAGATTGAAATAATTTCAAAAGTAAAATGACTTGGTTATCTTCAGATTTATTTCTTACTTTTTTCAATGTCAAAAAAGGCCGGGCATAGCCTAGTTGTTTGCATAACATGCTGCGCATTAAATGGCCCGGGGTTCGAGGAGTCAATTCCATCATTTAGTTCAAAGCTCTTGTGGCAACGTGTGTTGCTAGTTAATTGCTTTCTATCTGGTGAGCAGTTATAATTCAGAGACGGCTATACCTGACTTTCATGGGTGCATAAAATTTCTGTTGTAGAAAAAGAGGGTGGGGGAGTATTTAAGATATTTCGTTAGATATAATTTATGTAAAAATAAGAATGTTTACGTAGTGCCACATTAATCCTATATGTAGGATTTTTTTCAAGAATTGTGTAGAAAAATAAATAATATTGTCTGATCTTTTTTGTTTTTTTCGTTTAACAACAAAAGCATCTTTGTACACCTGCCACAGAAAATGTTCTCCACTAGTACCACGAGATGCACGTGCTTTGCAAACCAGCTGTATTGTTACCATTACCTTTTGCTACGCTGATTGTGACGTCATTGTACTGTACTAGTACGTGATGAATAGCACTTGATGCACACGCTTTGTGAGCTAGCTATATTGCTACCCTATTCTTTCTTTACGATTATTGTGACGTCATTTCTGGTAACATGCTACAGATAACAAGAACAAAAAATACTACAGTGAAATATAAAGTAATGTTACTTGATTAGCAGAAAATAACGTTTTTAATAAATCTGTTTATTGATACGGTCTGTATGGATGATTACTGTTAAATTTTTAGAACTATCTATACAAAACTTGATTAATGTACTAGTATCTGATATGTAAGTGTATTGTTCGTATTGTATTTTGTTTGAAGTTAAGCACAAAGCTACACGATGGACTATCTGTGCTCTGCCCACCACCGGTCCGCAGACGTGTCGCCGTTCCTACTATTGTGATTAGAGTTGTTAAAATACAAGTGTTGTAGGATTAAACACAGGTGGTATAACACTCGATTCAAACCGTCGGCGAGGTTATACAGTACATATATAGATAAAATACTACATTGGTACTTGTTGGCGTTATTAGAAAAAACAACAATAGTGTCCAGGCTGTAACGTTTTCTATGATCCTAGAATATGTTTATTCAATTTCATAACTTTTTTGTATACTTATTACAACACTCAGTTAAATTGTACATGTTCGCCCTTTTAACAGTGAATCCCACTATTCGTTGCTAAAGAATTATACTTATTAGAACACTCAGTTATGTTGTACATGTTCGCCCTTTTAACAGTGAATCCCAGTATTCGTTGCTAAAGAATTATACTTATTAGAACACTCAGTTAAATTGTACATGTTCGCCCTTTCAACAGTGAATCCCACTATTCGTTGCTAAAGAATTATACTTATTAGAACACTCAGTTATGTTGTACATGTTCGCCCTTTCAACAGTGAATCCCACTATTCGTTGGTAAAGAGTAGCCCAAGATGTGGCGGTGGGTACTGTTGACAATTTACCTTCCTTCTAGTATATGACTTCTAAATTAGTAACGGCTAGTGCAAATAACCCTCGAGTAGCTTTGCTCGAATTTCAACAAAACAATCCCATGCACAACATGATATGTCACAGTATTGATAACCTTTAGTTGAACATTGAATAATGTGTATTTATTAGTAGGTCATGATATGTTTTCGAGTAAAATGTACTTTCTTACGTGTCACGGAATATTTAAAAAATAAGATGTATTTCTCACAACTATGATATTTTAAAGGACAGCACCGAGTAACTATAATTTAAAGTTCAAGTCCCACAATTCAATTAACGCATTTTGACTTATCGTTTCTGCTTCATACATTGATCAGTAGTCTAGAATAGTAATTAAAAAAAAAAGTTTTATTTTTATTAATTCTTGTTGGGGAGAATATTCCAAGACGTGAGTCTGGCATCGCTTAGTGGTTAGGATTCATGGTTCGGGACCCGTTTTCACAGAAATGTGCTCTGTACTCTAGGACCTCAAGTGCATCATTAGACTGGTAGTTCAATTCTATTATTCGGTCAAACAAGAGTAGCCCAAGTGTCAGGGGTGGGTGCTGTTGACTAGCTGCCTTTCCTCTTCATCAGTTTATAATCAAGAACGGCAACTTTCTTTACATAATTAATAAACAGCTCGTTTCATAATTGAGGAAATATAACTTTGTTTTCTAGGGCGACACCTACCTTTAAAGTTCAAGTTTAGATAATTCTTCACTTGCATCTTATATGATGACTCTCTTACTCATTCCAAGCACTGGTTAAAAATTATTGAGCCCAAAAATATTGCCATTAAACAGCGAATACTGTTATCTATGGAAGTAAGCTAAGTTCAGTAAAGAAGATAAAGAAAACTCCCTTGTTTTGATGTACTATAGTTCGTTCGGTGCCCGCATAACAGAATTCATCCTGTTCAGAAACAAACGTCTGCCAGTAGGCACGACAAAATCTGCGGGTCAAACAGCAACCATTAGTATTCCTTGCCTTTAAAAAAACCAGGAATGATGGGAAAAGGACCATTGTTAATACTTCTGGAATAATGTGTGCATCAAGATCCTTTCTCTAACGTTTGTTGAATACGCGAACTGATTGCTCACTCAGTCTTGTTGTTAAGTAAACATGAGTTGTTGAACGGAACGACATGAAATTGTTATTACTTATTCAGTAAAACTATGTATCAAGGAAACTGTTAAAGATAACCATTCGATAAAGTTAAAGGCAGTTCTGATACATTAGGTCAAGAGTCAAGCTCGGTCAAGTGACACCATGAAGTCAAGTGCAAGCTCAACTGATACCATAAGTTCAAGGAGACATCTTGAAAGGGTAATAAATTTGTATTACAAGTTTAAAAAATGTACAATGTTTGGATAAGGTTTTGTCAATACCGGGTAGAGTCAGTCCAATACAAACATAGAGAGTCAGAACAATACAAACATGTAAAGTCAGTACAGTACAAACATGTACAGTTAGTCTAATACAAACATATAGAGTCAGCCCAGTTCAAACATTTAGTCAGTCCTGTACAAGCATGTAGAGTCAGTCCAGTACAAACATATAGAGTCAGTCCAGTATAAACATGTAGAGTCAGTCCAGTACAAATATATAGAGTCAGTCCAGTACAAACATATAGAGTCAGTCCAGTACAAACAGATAGAGTCAGTCCAGTACAAGCATGTAGAGTCAGCCCAGTACAAACATTTAGTCAGTCCAGTACAAGCATGTAGAATCAGTCCAGTACAAACATATAGAGTCAGTCCAGTACAAACATTTAGTCAGTCCAGTACAAGCATGTAGAATCAGTCCAGTACAAACATATAGAGTCAGTCCAGTACAAACATATACAGTCAGTCCAGTACAAGCATGTAGAGTCAGTCCAGTAGAAACATGTAGAGTCAGTCA